AGTTATGAGATTTGGTCTTGAGTTCTTTACAAAATGACTTGAAATTTCAAGAATGGATGCCCAACTTCATGTCTTCGAAACTTCTAGCTCAAGCATGATAAAATTGTGTTCTTGGACATTTTGGAAAGCTTGAAACATTGTATACAACTTTCATGTTGTGAGTTTTGGCTAAATCAAATGGGAACTTGGTCAAAATTGGCCATGATGTTGAGAGGAAAAACTGACCAAAACTTGTTGAAAATTTTTCTAAGTGTTGGGTGAAAATATTCAGAACTTCATGGGCCTATATCTCTTAATCCAAGAACTTTTTGAGGATCATCCCACTTTGAAAAAGTTATAGAATTCATTAATCACCACAAATTTCATGTCGAAAGTTTTCCTTGAATCAACTTGGATCTTGAGGAAACTTGCTTGTGAAGTTAAGGTTTTTTAAGCACAAAACACTTGAAATTTTTATAAGTGTTTGAAAATCTTGACTTTTGACTTTTGTTGACTTTCTTGATTCTTGATGATCAAGTTTGATAAGTTTGAATATCTTGGTGGTTCTTGATTTTTGAATCTCAATATTGACCAAAAAGTCAAAGTTTGACTTTTGAGTGACTGTTGACTTTTCATCAATTGATTCAAATTTTAACTATCAATCACTTGAATCTTTGGAAATGTATTGAGCCATGTAATTAGGTCAAGATGTTGTATTTGAGTCCTTAAGACCATGTTTCAAGTCATTAGGTCATGCATTAGGTCAACAGTCAATGATCAGTCATCCTCAGTCAAAACCGTAATTTTGGAAATTTTTGACCTCTGATAATTTGAGGGTTTTCCTTGAGGAATAATAATAAACCCTTGATAAAATGATGAATATCATTTCAAAATATTGATGTTAACCAAAAATCTTGAAGTTTGACTGTATATTTACCACAGTTGACTTTTTACCCAATGCAGTTGATTTTCAGTCATATGAGCAATTGATTGAGCAAACTTGTGATACAAGACTTGAAACTTGGCATGAGCATTATTGAGGACCTATGAAGAACCATGAAATTCATTTGAGACCTTTGAAAACCAATCTTCTCTGAGAAGCACCAAACCCTAAGTTAAGACTCATTGCTTAGGAGGAGGTTTTGACCAGTCAACTCTTGAGTAGCTTTGACTATTTGAGACCTTTATGAAAATGTATTGAAGAAAATGGGAGGGAAAATTTTGGGGGTACAACAGTAGAATTATGGTTTGAGCTTGTATCGATAAGTTCCTCGAACTTTCGTTTCACCGAACCTACGGTGAGTTTGTTGAATCCCCCGCCATATATGACCATGACAGTGGGAAAAGACTCCCACATGTTATGTGTTGTATTGTAGAGGGGGAAATCGGCCTCGTCGGGGATGAAGAAGTCCTCAGGCTGGGAGACGCTCATGGAGAACTGGAGGTTGGCAGCATCGTTAGAGGGTGGTGTCTCCTCCTTGTCCTTCTTTGCTTCCTGGATGTCTTGCCGAGGAGCTTCCCTTTTCTTGTATTGCTTCAGGTGCTCGTCCCCGATGAGAATCTCAATCGCATCCTTGAGGTGGACGCATTCTTTAGTAACGTGCATGTGGCTATTGTGGAATCGGAAATACTTGGTCTTATCTGTATTAGGTTTGGGAGGTGTCTTCTTGGAAAAGCGAACTCCTACTTGGCGGAATTCAGAGTTCTTGAACTCGGACAGAATGCGCTCGGGGGAAACGATTAGGGGAGTGTATTCCGTGAAATAGCCAGCAGTCCCTCTAGATTCCCTAGGCTCGCGGAGCTTATCTTCCTTTCATTCTTTTCCTCCGCGACGAGGTGTTAGGTGGTTGTCATTCCAAATTGGTGATAACGGTGGAGACTGGATGTATTTCCCTCGTCGGGGGCTGCCATCGTGTTGTGGCGGCGAGTTATGTGAGCAACCTTTTGGTTTTCATGGAGGCGAATGAAGGTTCTCCATTCGGCCTCCTTCCCTACTTTTCTTGGTGTGCCAGAAGTGTAGACCCTTGTGAAGAGGAGTTTGATCACTCTTCTTGGTCATTGGGGGTTGTTGCCTTTCCAATCGTGGGTGGCTGCTTGGTAGTCGCGGGGACGGACTTCGTGACTCGTACCGTTGGTGTCTCCAGGGGGAGAGCGCAAACAGAGGTCCTTCTCTAGCGCTCCAATCCTTTCGTTTTGGTGGTGGATCAGCATGTTTGTTTGGTTGATTGTCGCGAATAGGGCCACAGTTGTCAGTTCGGTGTTGGGGGCACCGGAATCACTTGAAATGTCTCTCGTGCTTCCTCTTGGGTCTCTTATTTTTGTAGGTTTTGACGTACAGAGCGAGATATGCGTCTGCATCATCGGAGAAAGGGAACCAGTGTGTCTGTCCCTCCTTGTTGAGGTGATGTCTTCCAAACATGGGATCTTGTGGCCATTGTCGAAGTTCAGGACGACGGAGCTAACAGTTTCAAGACCGTCGTCGTTCTTATCATTGGGAACATCTATAATCAGTTTTGAGTTTTGTTTTGATCTTTAGTTTCAAGGAAAGAAAGATGGGGAAACATAGATTCTCACAGACGGCGCCACTGATCTTACCGGTGATCAGAAGAGGAGTGGTCGGTCCAGACGTCCATTGATCCAAGTGTTTCACGGAGGGACTATTGTACCTATAAGGCACTTCGATACTGAAGTCTGAAAGAGTGAGAGGTAAAAGAGAGAGTTAGAGAATGTGAACAGAATACCTGACTCTCCTGTACAGGGAAGTACTTATAGAGCCCCCAAGCTGGGCCAATGGTCTCCATTATGAGCTGAGTATCCAGACCCATAATGAATGATTGTCGGGATTCTCACGTGAGAGTGAGGATGAGCAGCACATGCTCATCATCCTAGGTCAAGTGCTCCGAACTTGGTGGATAGTGGGCTGACTACGTTCGTTGCAAAGGGCGCATGCAATGGCTCCGAAGTGTGTGAAACACGCTGATGACGTGTCCTCAGATGAGGAGCATGTGGAGAATATGTCCTCAAATTGGGCCACGATGGATTTGGCCATCATGTAGGTCGTCCTCGACGCATGGCTGAGTTGGACTGTGCCCGACAGTGGACCAACCACGAGCCCAATCTATAACAATTTGTAATTCTAAAGTAACGATGTGGAAACATGTGCAATTTTGGACTTTGAAATTGCTGGTTCAATTTCGCTCAAACCAATTTTTTATTTTTATGATGTAATTTCAAAAATGTCCCAGCTAGAACTTGAACTCACGCCCAGAAGCTTAATGACCAAAACATCGAACGAAATATCCAAACACACCATATATATTTGAAAACAAAAATTATGACACCCCTGAAAAAATATTTTGGTTCCGCCATTGAACACGACTTCTTTAGTCATCATGATTGTTGCTTTGCATCCAACTATATATCCACATTGATAAATGTCAATGTCTCCTCTATAAACGTGATCAAGAGTCACACCTAAATAATTTTTAACTCACAATAATAGTTTCATTTCTCTCAAATAATGAATTGAGTTTTAGTACTAATCTTTATAAATACTCCTCTAATGATTAAATAATCAAAACTACTCCATGGAAAACTTCTTTTTACGGTGATTATCATCCATCTTAATTTGTTTCCGTATGAAATAAGAACAAACTCTTTTGGAAAAATGATGAATGGTCTGATCATATAATTGAATTAGTATTTTAAGGGAAATTTACAAAAAAATAAAGTTCATGACAAATTAAACTATCTTGACTTAGCTTCGATCACAAACTCATTTCAACTAAAGTTAAACAATAAAGTTGTGCTATTGTTTAAAAAAATACACTACCATATCATATAATTAATTGATTTAAATATACTTTTTATCTTTTTATTTTTAAGTTTTTTAAATTTTAATCCCCTATTTTAAAAACCATATTTTAGTCCTTAAATTTTACTTCACTAGAAATTTTATTAATTTGCTATAGTGTTGTATATGTGTCACCTTTAATAATAACATATAATACTGTTATAGTCATTCTTTATAATATGTATTCATCTAACATTAAACTAATGTAACAGCGTCATATTATTACATATTATTAATAAAGATGTCACATATATAAAATTAGAGAGATTAATAAAATAAAGTTTAAAAAATTTTAAAATTGAATTTTAAAATGAGAAATTAAAATTTAAAAAACATAAAAATAAATGAATCAAAACTACATTTAAACCTAATTAATTTTAAGATATCCCAATAATTTAACGGAGTACTAGTACGTGTGGTTAATTGAAGGCAAAATACCTTTTTTTAGTCCTTTAAGTTTACCCCAAGGTCCATTTTGGTCCTTTATCTAAAAAAAAATGTCAAACTGGTCCTATAATTCTTTCAAAAGGACCATAGGAGTCCTTTCCGTCCATTTTGGTTCATTGGAGAAGCTGCAAAATGAGCTTGATGGAGCAAAGATGGAGATACATCATCTAAAGGAAAGGGAGGATGGGCTGAAACATAAGATAATGGAGTTACAAATTGAAATAAAGAAGGATGGACTGAACCAAAAAGGACCAAAATGGACGGAAAGGACTCCTATGGTCCTTTTAAAAGAATTATAGGACCAGTTTGACACTTTTTTTTAGATAAAGGACCAAAATAGACCTTGGGGTAAACTTAAAAGACTAAAAAAGATATTTTGTCTTAATTGAACATAAGAGGGCATCTTCTATTTTCTCTTCAAATTATTTGCATGTTTATCTTGCAGAGTCCCCACCGGTGTCCCAACTGCTCGCGTTATTTCAAGACATTGTGACGTTGAGATTCACCCATACAATAATAATTTACTACTTTTAAGCGCGTGGTATTGACTTTCCCAAAACAAGAGTCGACCCATGCATCAACCTTTTGAAGTTTCAATTATAAAAAACCAAACATATTTTCCTTATAAAAGCAGCATTCGCACAGCTAAGCAAAGAAGAAATTAACCAAGTGTAATTACATTATTGGCTCTCACTACTCAATCATAACATCAAACTTGCAAATGGAACTCCAAACATTGATTTCGTGGTTACTTTTCTCTGCAAGTTTCATTGGGTTCTTATTCTTAGCCAGAAAAACACCTTCCTCTACCACCAACAACACACTACCCAAATCTTACCCCATTTTCGGTTCTGCTTTTTCTCTGCTAGCCAACTTCCACCGACGCATACAATGGACCTCCGACATTCTCCAAACCATCCCTTCCTCCACCTTCATCCTACACCGCCCTTTCGGTTCCCGACAAGTCTTCACGGCTCAACCCGCCGTGGTGCAACACATTCTCAAAACCAATTTCCCTTGCTACGGCAAAGGTCTCACGTTTTACCAATCTATCAATGATTTTCTCGGCGACGGAATCTTCACTGTCGACGGTGAAGCTTGGAAGTTCCAACGACAAATCTCCAGCCACGAATTCAACACTAAATCCCTCCGGAAATTCGTTGAAACGGTAGTAGATGTTGAACTCTCCGATCGCCTCCTACCTGTTCTCTCCGAAGCTTCTAAAAATCAAACCACTATTCTTGATTTCCAAGACATCCTCCAACGTTTCACCTTTGACAACATTTGCATGATCGCGTTTGGATACGATCCAGAGTATCTCATCCCTTCCCTTCCTGAAATATCATTTGCAAAAGCCTTCGAAGAAAGCTCAAAACTCAGTATCGAGAGGTTAAATGGGGTGATTCCATTACTATGGAAAGTGAAAAGATTCCTGAACATAGGAGTGGAGCGACAGCTGAAAGAAGCAGTTGCAGAAGTAAGAGGACTCGCCACTAAAATCGTTAAGAATAAGAAAAAAGAGCTTAAAGAAAAAGCAGTAAAGTCGGAATCTGTTGATCTTTTATGGCGATTTTTAAGTTCTGGACATTCAGATGAATCTTTTGTTATTGATATGGTAATAAGTTTTATTCTTGCTGGAAGAGATACAACTTCAGCTGCACTCACGTGGTTCTTTTGGTTACTCTCTAAGCATAGTCATGTCGAGAATGAGATTCTCAAAGAGATTACCGGAAAATCGGAAACTGTTGGCTACGATGAGGTGAAGGATATGGTTTACACTCACGCGGCGCTATGCGAGAGTATGAGACTATATCCTCCTGTTCCGGTGGATACTAAAGTAGCGGTGCACGACGATGTTTTGCCAGATGGGACTTTAGTGAATAAAGGATGGAGAGTGACGTATCATATATATGCTATGGGAAGATCTGAGAAGATATGGGGACCGGATTGGGCCGAGTTTCGACCGGAGAGGTGGTTGACTCGGGATGAGGTTGGGAAGTGGAGCTTTGTTGGGATTGATTATTATAGTTATCCGGTTTTCCAGGCTGGGCCGAGGGTGTGTATAGGGAAGGAAATGGCATTCTTGCAGATGAAGAGGGTGGTTGCTGGGATTTTGGGGCGGTTTAGGGTGGTTCCGGCGATAGTTGAAGGGACTGAGCCGGAGTACACTGCCCACATTACCTCATTAATGAAAGGTGGCTTCCCCGTCAAGATTGAAAAGCGATGTGCAGATGAGTTAATAATAATTTAGAAGATTAGCGCGATGTGCAGATGTGAATTAATTTTTATTTATTTTGTATCGGTTTTAATTAGGTTAAAAAATTTGATTTACTAAATATGGGTTATAAATTTATATTATAATAATTTATTATAAATTATAATCGAGACAATAATTTAAATTAATCATAAGTAAAAATATATATTTTACTTTAAAGAAAAGAAAATTTATGTTTATAAGTTGAAAGTGGTGTACAAAATTTTATTTTGTAAATTTAAATGATTTTAAAGTATAATGATTTATATTTTATTTTGACTCATAATTGAAAGTTGCAAACTAAACAATTGGAGTTAGTAAAAATCACCAAGAACTACTAATCACGAGTGTGCGAGAGAAAGAAAGAGGAAGAAAATACCATTGAGAAAGAGGAAGAAAGAGAGGATCCATATGAGAGAGAAAGATATGTTGCATTGGAACTACAAAGAATTTGAACATGTTAGCTTGAAAAAACTAAAATGTATTCATTAGTCTTACAAATTTATTTAATTGAGAAAATTTATTATTAGACTTATTTTACCCTAAAAAGATGGGATTGACCAATTAGAGTAAATGGTATTTTCAGATATTGGAAACCAATTTCTCATATAATGATTATTCGATGAATAAGTATCATCTCATTTAATTTTTTTAAAATTAAAACATTTTAAAATTATATTAGAAATACTAAATAAAAAAAATGTACCAAAATATCTTTTCTTTTAATTTTATAATTAAGAAATTATTTTAAAACAAATATGAATAATATTCTATAAAATTTATGAAAATAATATATATGAGCAAATTAGTTGCATGTTGAAAAATGATTTGTTTAGATTTAGTTAAAATCTAATTATATTTGTTTAATAATGTATTGCATCAAACTAATAATAATAAGTTTATTGGAAATAAATTAGTATGATATTTTTTAAAAAAATAAAAATTAATAAATAAATATTAGATTATTGTATTTTTGCATTTGTGAAGATTTGAACTCATGACCTTCTATAGAGTAACAATATGTTTTAACCTTTGAAAAATAGATTTTAAGAGATGCCTTGTAAGAAAATAAATGATGTGGCACAAAAAAGAGTTGAAGTGTCGCAAAATAGGAATTGAAGTGTCGCGAGATAATTTGATGCACTGGATTTAATAGATATAAAATAGATTATTTATATATTCCTCATATTTTATTGTTGCTTGAATCTCAATAGTTAATGTTCACATTACCTATAAATAAATAAAATGTTAGAATTATCTGTAGCGGTAGAAGTGTTGAGACTAAGCCATTTGATTAACTTAACTCATACAGATCAAATAAAAATCGTCACCGTGTTTTATTGTCTCTAAAGGAAATGGAAAAAGAACAAATAAACCCAAAAAAAGAGGGGAGAATGTAGATATAGGTGTTGGTTATGCAAAGAGAAAATATTAGTACTCTAAGCATCTACGGTACTCCACAGGAACCTCTTTGAAAATTTGTGTATTTTAACTATAAAAGAAGATGTGTACAAAGATAAGATAGTGGTGTCATACCCCAAATTTGTCCTACCATTTAACAAGGATCATCTGGCTTATGCATCTCATTCTCCTCATACGCATTACCTTTCCATTAGGTCATTTTACACAACATGCATCATTAATCAAATAACTTGGAATGGGATCAAGGATCTTGAGGAATTGGGGAGACTCTCATCTTCACTCAACGCCAAATTTGTATATTCATCAATCACGGTATGCCTCTATGTGTTTGGGAGGTTATCAGATAGACCTCAAGGCGTTGGTCATACGTTCCTCATGGGCTTGATGTACATGGCAAGATAGATTTCTCATGCGGGTTAGAGTCTGGTTCATCATAAATCCAAGATAATTCCTCTGAATAACTATGATGCGTGGGGAGCAAGATGTCACATTGCTTAAGCTATACAAGTTATATCTTTATTTCTCAGGGGAGCAAGATGTCACATTGCTTAAGCTATACAAGTTATATCTTTATTTCTCACACAAGGTTTTGACATGAATATTGTATTAGATCATTGATGAATACAAGGCATTTGGCACAAATGATATAAGCTACTTCTATATTCAAGGTCTTAGAATACAAGCATGCATGGATTGAGGTTCATTTTGATTCAAGTATGGCATATATGGTTGCTTCAGGTGAAAGTTCTTTAGCGTGAGGAAAACATGACCATTCATTTGATTCAAGGGTACAATTCTATTTCAAAGTCAAGTGCATTACAAAATACATATTCAAGTCTCATTTGGGAAAAAGGAGAAACATTATATCTCAAAGCCTGTTACATTACATCAAGAATATTATACATATAGAATGTACAATTTCGCACAAGTTGACCATTGACCGAACTATGACCTGTTGATCGTTGAACTTAAGTCATCAATCCTTTGTCTTGTACCAAGTCATATTCGTCTAGCCGTCCCACTTTCAACTTCAATTTTCTTCATTGCTTAAGCCAATTTGAAGCATAAGTGGCCTTTGTTACAACATTTGCCTAGTTTACAAACCATCTCTGTACCATGTATTTGTGTAATCCACCAAGACTATGCACATACCGACCGTACGCATAAATCTGCAACAGAAGAAAACACGAGACTACAATATGCCAAAATACTACCATGATACATGCCTCTATAAATTGAGCCTACAGACATCTAAATCAGTACCAATCATGATACAATCATCAATCCAATACTAGCCCTGTCCCACAACCCTTATCAGAAGGCCAACCAATGCAATGCAGTTACACAAGTTAAGGTCTCGTGATGCATATCAGATGCAAGGCAAAATCAAGCCTGATACAGACCTGTGAAATCTAAAACATACAGACCTACAATGCAAGCAAATCCATAATCAACATACATGCTATAGTATACATACACCAAGGCCATCTCATTCACAAAACAAGTCATGCATAGACATTTGCAATTCAGAAACTTTGCCATGAAAACCGTTTTTTGTTTGATCCATAACAGTTCTTAAGAATCAAAATACATGGTTCACAAAAGATGAAAACATATCCATATTAAAATTCGGTCCGTACCATTCACCATATACAAAGCTTCATACATACATGTCAATATACACCAGGTATGCCCTCATGATTTTGTACCTTCATTTCGTGTTGCTCCATGTTCAAAGTTGTACCTGCATCTCGAAAATCCCATAAACTTGCTGCAAAAATCCACCAAACCTGCATAAAATCGATTCAATATTAGTATCACTCTGCACTAGTTGAATCCAAATTGAACAAATTTGTATATTTCTATTTCATGAAAAAAAACAGCCCTGCAATTAAAGCATTTTTCAAAACCAGTTCAACTCACTTGAAACCAATTCACTATTTCAAAGCAGTTAACCTAATGTTCACTCAAGCTCACTCACTAAACAGAATCTTAACACACTAACAACTCGCCAAAATTCAAAAAAGGTTAGCTCATATAACTAACTGTGACATAACAGTAATAACAAAATAACAAAAATACTCTAACTAACTCTCAAAACCTCTCATCCTCACCTTTCATTTGGCATAACAAACTTCTAATCCAATGGCTCAGATGAGTTTAATCCTAACTAACAGAATATAAATTCAGATTTTACCTGAGATTGCATCATTCTCCATTCTCCTCAGAAGAATCATCAAAACTCACGGAAAAAACTATCTCTCTTTCCCTCTACATAACCAAAACTTCCTCTTCATCTTCATCCTCTCACAAACTTGCAACCTCGATTCCATTTTCGTCACCTCAATTCATTCTGAGTTTTTTGTAACCGCCGCACCATCCTTCACCGAGTATCAACTACGATCGCGTTTCCCACTCTTCATCCTCAACCATCATCATTCTGCACATCACCATCATCGTCATCTCTGCATTATAACCGTCATCATCCACACCACTTCTCTAACACTCACGAATCCAGATACTAAACTCACAGCGATACCACATGTAGAGGCTTCAAAGGAGACAAAGTAGAGGAAGAAGAAGAAAAGAAGAATCAACGGATATCCGTTATTACCTAACAGTTCATTGAAGATCCTCTGGTTTTCGGGCTTCTCTGACGCCGTTGAAAGAGCACCGGACCTGTTCTCCGGTAGGTAATGTTCGTTTCACCTTTTACATCAATTTTGTTACCATGGCGTGCGTCTCATTGTGCTGATTAAGAATCCTAAGGTCTCAAGCTTTGATTCGAGGACGTACTCATATAATTCCAGTTTTTAGCTCAGTTAGGGTTTTGATACCTAGATGTAGCACGTAAGGACAAGAACCTGAGGAAGGCCTAGAAATAGAAAGATGAGGCGAAGATGAGGGAGACGATGGAAGAAATTTGGAGATTTGTGAAGTTCCGCCGCCTCCGAAGCGACGGAACAATTTCTGGCGGAGTTTGAGTTGAGATAGAATAGAATGAGGAAGATGAAGCTTCAAGGTTTGAGGTTATCTGAAGAGCCACATTTCCATACCAAAATGCACCGTTTCTCCATATGCTGCTTTTTTTGTTTTATTATATTTTCTTTTTAATTCAGAAATAATAAAAAGGAATAAATATTTGATGGTGTTGTTGGGCTAATTTCTTCCTGGGCCGAATTGATCTCCCTAAAGCCCGTTAGCTTGTTTTTTGTAGGCCTAATGATGAATGTGAACAAAAAACACTTGTTGGACTCCTCCTAGTTGGGCCTTTCGCCCAGGCTATTATTGCAGAACCTCACCATCTGATTCAGACGTTACACCCCCCTATTCTTCAATTTCCTTGGTAGATTTAAGACTTTCTCTTAATTTTTTTCTATATCTTTTTATGATAAAAAATTACAAAATCAATAAAATTTGTTAGATTTTTTATTTTGATTTTAGGAATTAATTCATGATTATTCGATTACTTGAGACTTCTGATTCACTTTTGTTTGTCGAGATTTGAATCTTATGCAGGTTTATTATGTGATATGTGGATATGCTTGAGTTTTAGATTGTGATTTATTTTCACATTGATGATGCTTAGACACTATTTTAGACATCAGATCTCTCACTATTTTCTTTGATTGGTGAAGCTTGCACGAAGTATTTCGGGTTTCTTAGTTTTTTATCGCTTTGCTACGGATTGATATCAGTTTGGTACTTTTCGATTCTGGTTTAATTTCCACATTGTATTCTACGCTTTTCGTGATTGTGCTTGTGGCTTTCCATCTTTTGTCGATCGATGATGTCACTCAATTAGAATTGAGATAATGACTTCGATCTTTGCATGCTCCCCTTAGGATTTTGCCGTTTTCCTTTATTGATGGCCGATGATGTCATTCAATTAGAATTGAGATAAAGAATTTGATCTTTGCATGTTCCCTTAAGGCTTTTATCATTTTACTTTGTTAATGATCGATGATGTCACTCAATTAGAATTGAGATAACGACTTTGATCTTTGTATATTCCCTATAGGATAGTGATCCTCGCCCCTAGGTTTTTGGTATGCTAACATAGGTATACGTTTCCCTTATCATTTTCTTTCTCTTTTGCATATGCATTAAGACTAAAACCTTTTTTCTTTCAAACTCAAAGACACTCTAATAAAACAAAAACCCCTTTTCAAGGTAAAAAACATCAACCAATTCAAACTCTTTTCGTCTTCGGGCCTTTCATCGAAACTCTCAAAAGGATTTGTTAGTTCTACTTTAGGCGGTACGATGCGTAAATCCCCAAAGATCGGGCTGTACCCATGTCTACTTGCCAAAAAGTTGCGTATAAAACATTTTTTGCCTTTGGGCATCGAAGATACCTCGTTAGGTATGAGCATGTTAGTTCCTTTCTACTACAGACGCGTGAGTCTCCTAGGGTCGAGCATCGGTAGAATGTGAACCTTAACATTGTTCCATTAAAAATAATAAAATAAACCAGAAACATGTGAGATGAACTACAACACTCTGATTCCTCGAAAGGGGTACGCAGGCAACAGATCGCGGGGCCTAACCGAGTAAAATTCATAAATACTTCCTTCTTTTCCTAGCATTTCTTTTGCATGCATTCTACCTCTGTAGTAAGCAGTAGACATAGATTAGACACACCCATAAGATAGATAACATGAGTGAATACGATAGAGTAGTACGTGCGTGTAGGGTGTTAACATCTTCCCCTCGCGTAACAGACTCCCTTATTCGATCTCTCAGTCGTAAGACCATGACTTCTCCCTTCTCAGGTTTTCTCGATGTTCACCTTTCCCTTCATGTGGGATAAAAGACGTTCGATGGCGACTTCATTGTTTCATGATGTTCAGCCGGTTGTTTCACGTGGAGATGAGAAAAGTAGTATTGTTTACAATTTTGCACCCACCGCGGTTGTGAATACTTAGTGTCTACGTACCACCTTCTGTGGAATAGGGGATCAGGGTACTCATAGTTCACCTCAAAATTTTAAAACACATGTGTGTTATTTAATTTTAAGAGAAGAGACATCATCATCATATCTGAGTGAAAAACATACTACCCACAATTATGAGAAAAGAGCATTTGTGTCATCTCAAAGTGGAGGATATAACTTGGATTTAAAATCCATCACTCAACACCATAGTGGAAAATAACTCTCTTCACTACATATCGTAGAATTATTGTAGCTTGCGCCACTAAAAGAACCAACAAGAGTCTAATATTTTGAGAAAAGTTTTAAAGTAAAAAAAAAAAAAAAGTGGCCAAATGGTTTGAATGAGGTTAATGAATTTTAGTCTTTCAAAAAAAGATTTCAAAGTATGGTTAAATTGGTTAAAGTTTGATTAAGAAAAGATTTTGAAAATACATGGACCTAAGTCCAAGTTTATTATGAAAGCGATTCAAGTTATAAAACAAGAAGAGTTTTAAAAAGGAGGGAGAGGATTTTTGAAATTAAAGAAGATTGTAAGAGATGAAGGGACTATCCTATGTACACAAAGTAAAAGTTAAGGTAAGGGACAGTCTAACCAACAAGAAGCCAACACTTGACATAAAGAAGTCAATGTAGAATTCCCATTCTTTGGATTATAAAACCAAGAAAGCATAATAAAACCTAGCTTCATATGAAAATAAGCTTCAAATGAACTCGTGCCTCGGATGTATTAAGTATTCACAAAAATGGACAGTGTAACAGTTATATACAGAGGAGTTCTCAATCACAGAAAAAACATAAAATCAGAATAACTTGCACACAGAGTAAACCAACCCAATGCCTTGGAGTAAACCTCAAGGACTTCAGACAGAATAAAAATAGAGCAACAAGGTCCCCAAGTATCAAGGCTTATAATTCTAAGTCTGAGAGATCCACAACTCCACAATTCCAAGGATAGTAACCAAATAGTCCACAAAGAAATAAGTCTTTTAAGGTTCAAGTTCATTATTAAGTGTCTTTAAAAAAAATAAAGCTCAAGTGAGCAAAGAAAAAATGACATAAAAATAAATGCTCAGGTGAGCAAAAGAAAAAAATGACATGAAAATAAATGCTCAAGTGAGTAAAAGAAAAATGACATGAAATGTAAATGCTAAAAAATAAATGGTACATGAAAGTAAAGGCACAAAATAAAGGCATAAAGTAAAGTTAATTGTTACTGAATTAGAAGTTAGAGGTCAAGTATAACAAAAGGTTAGTTGAATGACCATCTTGAAGCTTGCTTTTGAAAACTCATTAGAAGATTGATAAAATCAAAGCCTCTCAACAACAAGTTTCATTTGCTTTTTGTCAAGTATATCATTTATTTTAAGTACTCAAAGCCAACACATATGACCAACGATAATTGAAGGTCAAACTTAGGCCAAAGTTGATGAAGGCTTGTTAGAGGATTGGTAAGACCAAAGCCTCCTAACAACAAGCTTCAAAGGGTTTGAACCAAAATCCAATCATCAATTATACTTGGGCTTTCTAACATAAACTTTGGGCCACGAATAATCATTTTTCGAATTGGAACAAATTTAGCACTATGTTAAGCAATCGTAAGTGGACTTATGTAGAAGCCATACCTATTTTGAGGTCGGTCAATAGCAATATATGTACCATACATGTTAGAGAAATGATATATAGACCATTCTCTAAAAACATGTAGCACAAGTAAAAACAAGAAAGGGATAAGATGAAGAGGGAGGGGAATGATAGTGTAACCAATGCCTCAGATGAAATTAGGATTTCAAATATCATCAACATCATTTATCCATTTTGGTGGATTTAGTTTTTCAACCTATCAACACCTAAGATCCAATGAGGTTGATGAACTTATCCAAAAATAACACTCAAGTGTCTCCAAATCAGAATGAATCACAAAAACAATAAAATATAATTAATAAAAAGCAATATTTAAATAACTAATAAAAAGGAAATAATTGGTAAAATGCACAAAGTCTATTAAAATACCAAATAAAAATCCAACAAAAAAATTAGAGATCAAACATGAGTCAACAAGTGTTGACAAATTTTTTAAGAATTTTTTAAAGTCAGAAACTACTTTTTCAATATAAAGAAATAAGCAAAATAAACCAAAATTTGTAAAAAAATAGTAATATCAAAAATAAAAATAAAATTAGGTCACGAATATTTGTTAAAAGGTCATTGGATCCTTCCATAAAATTTTGAGATTTTAAAAGATCAAAAAGTATTTTTAAACAATTAAATAAGTCAAA